CTGAGATGGCTAGCGCTACGCGCTGTTGCTCGGTCTGGAGCATGGCGTATGCGATGGCATTCTCGACCTCTCTCACCCAGAGCATGAGATTCTCTCTATCCTCCCCGTCGAAGACTTAAACGCTTACCACGAGCGGCTTAGAACGGAAAATATCATCCGTCACTGACGTTGGCGTCACAGACGCAAATGATGCAGACATATTCTGCTGCAGGTGCTAACGCACACCAATTATCTCGGGGCCTTGCGCGGCAAGGTGTTGCACGCCCTCAAGGCCAAGCAAGGATATAAGCTTGTTAAGCCCGTCCTGTATGCCCTGAGGCAAAGAGGAAAATTGTCCCATCCTTTCAGAGGATCAGTCTAAACGACTCAGGTGTAAATTGACTACGAGTGCTACCTAGTGCCGCGGGACTGCCGTAACTTTGCGCTTAGAGGAAGCGTAACTTAGGTCACCGACCTTTCGTTTTATACTTAGAACAAGTACGAGTTTAGCGGATCGCAATCCGCTTACTCTTACTCCAAGAGTGTCTATCGCCTTAATTTAAGGCTAATTGATTCCTCCATTTAAAATCCAAAACTGACTTTTATATTCTTATCTGCGGCAAAGCCGCCTGATTTTAAATGTAAAGAAGTTCCTAAATATATATATAATAAATTCGAAATGCATGCTTAACTACTGGCTACCCAGCCACATACCGTTTTCTTTTTTGAGTGCAGCCACATACCGTATTCTTGTTCGAATGCAGTCACACCATGCCCATCTCGTGTGACACACACCCCTGTAACCAGGGTACGTGTAACCCCGTTACACAAGAAGTTTGGAAACTCGGACAAGAAATTGTCGGCGCGATTGCGCGCACGGTGACACCAATATTCATAAAATAATGGGTTGCTGTGTTATAGCACTGACTCAACGTATACGCCACGAATTGTGGTTCCTCACGATGAGATCTAAAAGTATTGTTTCCTCTATGAGGCCCACGACACCCCACTCAGTGGTCATGTCGGTCGTGAAAAGACAAACAGCTCAGTGAGTTGCCACTATTGGTGTCTCAAGCCGTTCAAGTGGACGAGCACATATGTGCGCACGTGTGAGACGTGTCGGAGAATGAAACCCTCTCCGAATGCGACGACGCCGCTAGCCGGTTTACCGGTGCCCTCCGGGTGTTGGTAGTCTATGAGTATAGACTTTGTGTTTGGCCTGGCGAAGGACTCGGCAGGCAACGCGGGTGTAGTTGTCTTTGTGGACCGTTTGAGCAAGATGGTTCATCTTGCGGGGCCGGACACTATCGACAGCGTGGGTACTGCGGAGCTGTTTGTCGATCGTGTCTTTCGGCGACATGAACTTCCGGCGTTAGTTGTCTCTGATAAAGACCCACGCTGCACTGGGAAGATTTGGTCTACAATCTTCAGGGTGCTGGGCACCAAGTGAGCACCAAGTTGACTATGTCAACAACGGACCATCCGCAGACCGATGGTCAGACTGAGCGCGAGAATCGCTTCGTTAAAGACGTTCGGCGCAGCGTCTGCGCTGAGAGGCCGAAGCGCTGGAGCGCTTTGTTGCCACTCGTAGAGTTTGCTCTGAACAATGCAGTGCATACCTCTACCGGCTAAACGCCGTTCTCCGTGAA